TACACCCCTCCACATATTCTTAGCATACATAGTGTGCAGCTCATAATTCATCAACGAAGTCGAGTTTCACCCTGATATTTGAATATGATAGCTTTAGTAACACTATCACTAACCTGGCAAGGTTTCAGACTCCCATTCTACTGCTACTCTGATTTACGCACTCTACGCACTTGGAGACCTCCACATATTCTTAGCATACTAGTTATGTCACTTATTCAAAATGTGAAATACGATGATAATATCAGACTAGAGTTACTCAATAGATGTTCAATAACTTGTTTTCCTCCCCTGCAATGCCAGGACGTCAGTGAGTCGCTTCGGAAGGGAGCTTGTACAGCTTGTTATGACCTCAGGAGGAATTTGGGTCCATGGCATGGACTCCATGCTCGAAAGACAGCCGTCCTGAGTTCCCCCAGAGTCCGAAAAATCGGTTTGTCTGGGCCATACAGAGTCTTTACCATGTAGGCCCATATATTTTCTATAGGGCTGAGGTCGGGGCTTAAGGCTGGCCAACAAGGTGGGACCACATTTCTTTCACGGAGCCAGTCGATGGTGCTCCTGCTCCCATGACAGGGAGCATTATCTTGCTGAAACGTGAGACCCACCTCTCTAAACTCTTCCCAGTATGGTAACAGATGACGAGAGAGGACTTCTTGATAGACTTCGCTGTTCATACGGACCGTAACCTCTGCTAGAGCGACCGTATGGTCGTCTCTAATCGCACCCCATACCATGATACCACCGCCATTGAAGGCTCTCTTGCTCTTGAGCTGCTCGGCACTAGAAGGAAGGCTCCAGGTATGGTAGAGCCCATCTGGACCATCCAGGCAGAACCGCTTCTCGTCGCTCCATATCCATTTACGAAAATTGGTGTAACCCTGGAGGTGGTGCCGTGCGAAGCTCATGCGAGCAGCCTTGTGTCTGTCAGTCAGCGGCGGAGTGGTCTTCAGCTTGACGTATTGTGCCCCTTCATTCCGAATGAACCTGCGCACTGTCTCTGGTGAGACTTTTAGATCGAGCTCCGTAACTGCATCACCGGTAGACACCCCACAGTTGTCAAAGAAATAGCGCACAACACGACGTCGGGTTCGTTCGTCCATCAGAAACTTCGGTCCCCGCTTAAGTACAGGCCCACATTGATCCTGAGCCTTCACTACTCGACTCACCGTAGCCTGGTTGACCTGCTGAGCTCGAGCAATCTCCTTTTGGGTGTAGCGTCGACGACCATCTGGGCCTCTCTCCGCATGCATCGCGCGGATACGCGCCCTATCTGCTGGAGTCAGGTTTTTGTTCTTCGACATAACCCAAAGTAATGACAGGACGTGGGTGGTCATGGTGGTTGACGGCGGGGCAATTTGGGTGCTTCAATGGTGCCCTATGACCAAAATCCTAGGGTGCTTCAAGAATATGCTAAGAATATGTGGAGGTCTCCAAGTGCGTAGAGTGCGTAGATCAGAGTAGCAGTAGAATGGGAGTCTGAAACCTTGCCGGGTTAGTGATAGTGTTACTAAAGCTATCATATTCAAATATCAGGGTGAAACTCGACTTCGTTGATGAATTATGAGCTGCACACCATGTATGCTAAGAATATGTGGAGGGGTGTACAGTTGGGAATCCTGGCAGAAAGTGTGCGCACCAGAAAAAATGGAAACCCCGTTAGCTTACGCATGAACGGTCTTCGGCGAGTCCCATGGGAAGGCGGCACACACATACCCGGGCACTTCTATCTCAGGGTGTAGACCGGCATTAGGGATGATAGCAGCAGCAGCGGCAGCAGCATCATCAACGCTACCGTCACCGAAGCCAGTCGAAGCCGAGCCGACGTCGGACGAGAACGATCTCTTGTTGGTCGTCGACGCAATGGCGCTGCGGCAGGTGGGCGCGGGGGCCTGGGCAGTATTCTTGGCGGCGTAGGGGACGAAAAACATTACAGGTGGGCTCTAGCTTTGAGGAGGACGATGACGATGCCGCACCTCCCTCACACCTTCACAGTCGTTATAGGACAAACCATACACTTTCAATTTACAACACTAAACTCGAACCCTTTACGAACGCACGCTTCACTTCATGCCAGTGTCATCGAAGAAGAAGTAGTTACTCTGTCGCCTCTTCAGCTACCTCGTGTAGAGGGCTCTCGCTGGAGGCCAACCTTTCTTCGTCTTCTCTTGGCGTGCGGGATGATCAGCTCACCGACCGGGAGCTTATTCAATCGTGATGACTTCATCGAGGAGAAGAGGGGATTACTGCAGAAACGAGTCCCCAGCGGTGAGTGAAAGAGAGCATTTACCCTAGCGTTGAGCTTCGAAGACAATATGCATACCCAGTCCAGTATCATCTGTCGCGTGCAGCTCTGTGAGGAGCGTATCAACCGTACTCATACGCATGCAACCGGAACGATCCCGAACGAGCTTAAAGACAGCAAAAGAGCTATCAAGCACTGAGTGGGATCGACCGCGCTGAGGCAGGCGAAGACACCAAGCAGACTACGGCACACCCTCGATTCTCAATCACAACTAGCCGGCCAATCAGGCAGCCAAAACTGAAACCGTCCACACAGCGACTAAATCATCGCCGACTACAATCACGGAGCGGACCTAGACCCGACAACAGCGGGTTAACTCCTTTGTCACTACAATCTGGCTAACGAGCGTATGCACACTCATTTCCCATCGCACAACGAGAGTCGACCCACTAAAATGATGCCCATCTCCCGCAGCAATTGAAGAACTCGACAAAGACAACCAAATTGCTTACTAGAGCAGACTTCTCACAGAGGAGAGCAACGCACAACTATGTCATCAACAGTAGGAGGAACATTGAGAAACGATCAAGTTGACTCACCAACAGGGCACACCCGAGGCTCTATCTAGAGACACTTCGAGACGCCTTGTCGTGGTCCACATCAGAATTCAGTAATCTACTGCTGGAACTTGAGGAGAGACTTACGGTACATCGAGGGCTGCTCATAACCGAGGAGATTGCACAAGGTAGCGGCAACGTTAGTGATGCCGGCAACAGGCTCGACAATGCTGGGGTCCTGGCTGGGGTCAACGACGTACTTACCCTGGCCTGAACACAAACAAACCATTACACGAAGTGATCGACACAAAATCGCACTTACAGTTGGGATCAACAATGATGAAGGGAATAGCATTGAGAGTGTGGCTGGTCTTGATGTTACCCTTCTTATCCTTCATCTCCTCGCAGTTGCCGTGATCGGCGGTGATCACAACAATACCGTTACGGGCAGTGACCTGATATAATACAAATACGAAATATTCCCCCAAGGGCAGAATGAAAACTTACGGCTTCGACCATCTTCTTGACGCACTCGTCAATGACG